CTCTATCCACCCAGATCCCCGAGGCCTCCAAACCCAGACCAGCACGTGCCGTCTAGGGTATGTTTCCAGCACTGGGTGGCCTGCGTCCCCAAGACAGGATCCAGTTCACATACTGGATCTCCCCTGGTTTGACTCTATGTCCCCCAGCCTGACACAGCCCTGAGCGCTGAGTGGAGCAGGAAACACTAGCGGCCCAAAGACGGAATGACAGACGAGGAACCAGGTGAAAAGGCAGTAGACCCACAAATACAAGGGGTAACTAGGTAGGCAACTGATGTGAACACATGAGCTGATACAGGAACAGGTGCCAGATCACAGGGTCACAGGGGTGCCCAGAGATGCAGCACCTACCTAAGCATGACCTCGGCCTCTGCCAGAACCTCTGGACTCCCGCGGACACACTGGGATTTTAGAGGCCACAGACCTATAACTCCCACAAGCCTGCCAGATGCCTCTGGGTGCACAGAGCCAGCTGGAGGCAGGAACCCATAGGAACAGTCATGTGGGCAACTGGACCTGGCCAAGTCTCCTCCATGCCCATTGCCCAGCCCTCCACTTGGAATGGTCCAGTTCACACTCACCCACTCAAACCAAAAAATAAAATAAAAAATAGGACCAAGTTCCCTCAGCCAGAAGACCAGTCCCCAGCATGGACGCTAGCACGAGGCGTGACATGGCCCCTCCCACATCAATCACACCAAGTCACAGGCAGTACAGAACTCGGGCGGGAGTCGTAAAGTTACAGAGGTCTTGGAGCTGTGGAGATGTTGGTAGGGACACAGAGTGGCCTGGGCACTGAGGAAGCTTTTTTCTAAAAGTAATATTTAGGATGAAGCTAGGCTGATAAGCATAGTTAAGTAGGTAAAGTGGGGGGGTCGGGTGGAGGCAGAGAACCCAGAATGCTCAAAGACCCTGAGGCTAAAGAGCTTGAACGTGTTCCAGGATCGGAAAGCAGGCCAGGGAGAGCAGAGCCAGAGTGAGAGGAGGTGGGGAACAAGATGCAGCTGAGAGGCAGTTGCTGTGGGAAGGAGGCTGGGCTTCATCCTGGGAGCTGTGGGCATTTATTGGGTACCAACTATATGCTTTCCCAAAAAAAGAACATCTGAATTCAGATTTTATTCATTCGCATTTCAGAATGTTTAAATGGAAATACTGAAGTGCACTGGAGTCCGAGAAGGCTATTTTTAAATGCTTTTTCAAATAAACAAATCTCCATCAATCACAGCTGTATGGGAGGGGAGGGACCACCTGCTCTCTGCCACATCAAGTGCACTGGACACCATCCCTCGGTGTGTAGATACACTGGCGTTTATGAAGCCAGATGCCCGTGAGCCACAAAAATCCCAACAAGATGCCAGTGGGTGCCCCGACACACAAGATACGTCACTGAGTCCTCTGGAAGCTCCAAGTACACGTTCCAGCCTCAGCTCCCAAGTGCTGCGCAGCCTTCCTTCAAATCAGCCACCTCGGCTGCCAAGCAGCCTTGCGCCCCGGGGCACAGCCCTCAAACCTGCAGCTCACCTCGGTCTGACACCAGCAGGATGCTTCCTGGGTTCCCGGTTCTGTAATTCAGTCATCAGGCCCTGCCCACCTGACACTTTCGCTTGAGTCTGGGCCCTGCCCACCTCTCCAATGCCCAGCCCAGCTCCACCTGGCCCAAATGGACGAGGGCTTCATGGACACCACTCACAGGCACACCGGGCATTCCCCAGCCCCAAGAGGACCCACGAACTCTATCCCACCCCTACCCCAATAGACACAGGCACACACGCCTGGCCCACGTGCACAGGCAGCATCTTCAGAAGCTACTGGGAACATACTCGGAGCTTGCTGAGCAGCCGCTGAAGCCCAGCTGAGGGGGAGGGTGGCCCCCAACAGTGGTTCCTAACACTCGAGCCTCAGCCCTCAGCCCGGAAACGAGCTCTGCGGCCCCACCCAGTCCCGTTGTCAATCGTCTGGCTCAGGCCCCTCGGGCCACCCTTGGCCCAGGCAGCCCACAGTTCTCGGATACAGAGGAGTAGGGGAGAGAGAGGGAGCCACCTGAGGGACAGAATTCTGGAGACTCCTCCAACAGGCATTCTGCCATGGTCCTGTACAGCTTCTTACCATCACCTCTAGCCTTGCAGAAAAACAGTGCCCTCCTCCAAGTGAAGCCACAGAGGCAGAAGGACCCGACCCTCCCCCACCCCACAGGAGGTGCCAGGAGTAGAGGCGGGGCAGTCCAGCCTCCTTACGGCTGGGGACCGCAGCCCCCTCCCCCGCTGTCATTTCTACTTTCAAGCAGGTGGAGGTGCTGGGACACCCTCCCTATCAGTACAGCCCTCCAAGAGTGGGGTTCCCCATCCTCAGGGTACCTCCGTCACAACTGGCCTTCACCCACCCACCTACCCACCACCCTTCCCCCATCTCATTCCCCCCCCTACAACATCAACAGTCTGTGACAGCTCCGCACAGGCAGTGTGGAAGAACGCGAGAAGGGAGATGGATGGAGGGCTGGATGGGGAAATCCGACAAGGCAGGTTCTGCCCAAAGAGGCCCGGGGACTATCACTTGCCCAGGTAGCACATGTCCCCTCCCAGCAGGCCCAGCACATCTGGACCCAGCTGGCCTCTGCAGCCACCTGGTCTACCCTCCACCCGCTCTGCACGCGAACCCCCTTTCCCGCGGGGCGCCGCACGTGGGGGCCTCCGGTGGCCATGTGAGCGCCCCCCCAGCCCAGGTGCCAGGGTCGCCCGGCCCCTCCCGGACACGCGACAGCGCCGGGGGCGATGCGGCGCGGGGTCGCCCGCCCCCTCCCTGGATGCCGGGTCCCGGGGAGAGCCCGGGAAGGGGACACGAACGTGCGGCAGGCTGAAGGCAAGACAGCCCGGACCGCCCCGACACGCGGCCGGGAGGGGGCTGCAGCGGCCGGCCGCCTGCGGATGGAGGGCCGGGAGCGGCTCCTGCACCCCGGCCAGGAAAGGGCCAGCAGCATTGGAGGGGCCGGCCCGCATCGTGCTCCAGGCCCTTGCGCCCTGGCCCGTCGGAGGATCCGGGAGACCCCGCCGCTGCGCGCGTCTGTCCCCGGGGCTGGCCGCGGCCCGGGGCTGCCCGGGGTCTAGCCTCGGAGGATGGTCTTGACGCGTGCC